CCAAGTGCAAACGTAAGCTCTGCCAACTCCTGTTGGGGACCATGAGCACGTTCCCTCACTGTCATATCCAGGCATTCTAGATGCAGATGCTGTTAACGTACATTTCGCTCCCATTCCTTTGGTTCATTCAGCAAATAGTTTTACCTCCAGAAGAGCATAATTACTGAGTATAATTGAAATGAATAAAACTAACGAGTGCCTACAGTTTGCCAGCTGGTGAACAAGTCGATGACACCTCTGTTTTCACAGAGCTCACAGGCTGTTAGAGGAGAGAGACGGGTAAACCGACAGTTATAGTATAGTGGGATTAGTCCTTTGAATTGGGAGCAAAGGGAATGCATGAACTTGGTACCAAACCCAAATTTAAAGTTGTTAGGGCAGATTCCCTGAAGTATATCTAAGCTGAAACAACAGAGAAGAACTAGCACATGTAGAGGCACCTGCGTGGCTCAGTCAGTTAAGCATCCAATTCTTGATTTCGACTCAGGTCGTGATCTCAGGATGCTGAGGTCAAGCCCCCTTTCGGGCTCTGTGCTCAGTGTGGAGTTTGCTTAAAGACTCTCCCTCTCCCTCTGTCTCCCTCTGCCCCTCCCCACCCCATGCGTCTCTCTCTGTCTCTCTCAAAACAAAACAAAAACAAAAACACATGAAGTCCTCTTCATCCTTGCATCCTTGCAAAAGCAGGCAGAGCATCCTTGGAAAAGCAGGCAGCATGTGATGAGGCCCTGACAACACAAAGGAGAACCTGCCACATTTCCAGAAGCAGGGGAACCTCCATGTAGCTGGAGCGTGCAAGGCATGGGAAGGAGTGGCAAGGATGAAAATCAGAGACACAGAGGTAGCTCACAACGTGCAATCTGTATAAACCTGTCAGAGAATTTCTGTTTGATTCTGTAGGCAGTGGAGGCAGAATGTGAGATGCTGGTGAGAAGTGGCAGAAGCTGGAGTCAGGGTGGCAGAGACGGGAGGGAGCAGTGGCCAAGGGACATCTTAAGGTGAAGGGAAGTTTGTTGTTTTAAGGTAGGAGAGAATTTATTCGCTGTAAGTGCTGACAGAAAGGAGCTAGCTGGAAGAGGTGGAAGATTCAGGAAGAGCGATCTCTGAGAGAAGGTGTAAAAGTGTATGACTGCAGAGAAGTATCTAGATGATGGTCTAGGTGGGTTTAGATATAGAAGTTTCTAGAAGGGACTTCAAAGACCTTTCCACTTGTTGGACTCTGTATTCTCTGGAGTAGATGAGGTCTTCTGCTGAAGAAGTTGCATTCACTCCACAGATTTTTATTGAGGGCTTGCTTTATGGGGGTGGTAAGTGATGTAACAGGATTCTTGCCCTCATGGGGCCCCTGTCTAGTGGGAAAGACAGGCCATGCAGTGATACATTACGCAGTTGTTGAATGGTGACTTTTAAGTATTGGGAAGGTAGGATGCTCTGAAAACCTAAGAATGAGAAACATGATCGACAGGGTCAGGACAGTCTTGCAGACTTGCTTGAGGAAGATCTGTTTGAGCCAAGCTCTGACGTTTCAGAACTCGCTGGGGCTCCCGATGAAGGAGGGAACTTGAGCAAATGCTTCGAGGCAGGAGGACGGGGCAGGGACAGGCTCACATGGAGCCTTGTAAACCGTGTGAAGATTTTAATCTTTTTCGGAAGAGCCTCTGGAAACTACATTTCCGAGAATGTTAAGCAAGGGAGTGACAGGATCCGAACAGCTCCTTAGAAGAACCTCTGCTGCTGCTGGTGGCGGCAAGGAGGCTGGTCAGCAGGTGTGGGGCCGCCGAGGAGGCTGGTCAGCAGGTGTGGCGCCGCCGAGGAGGCTG